GCTGAAGGATACCAAGGAATTCTGTGCCAGCAGTAATGCACAGCACATTGACAGATGCTGAAGGATACCTGCAGGACTGTGCTGCTCTCAGGAACCAAGTCCACTCAGGTATGTGGCTAATCAAAAAATCCAAGCTACTAATCCTGTCAGGTTCTTACATGAACAGTGCTGTAGTAACAGAACTCAGAAACTTCTGTTCTGTCTCTCCTGTTTGGATCCAGTTTAATACTTGGTTAAGAAAAGTGAAGTCAGTTTTGGACTTCAGTTTTTGCCTGTGTTTACTCTACACAGTTATGCATTAAATAACTACTTGAGGATTTAAGATATGTAGACTGAAGTAAAAACTACTTAGTAAGATAAGATGGTATTGAGTTTTAACCTAAACTTTAAAGGAATAATGAAGGAACAAAGTCACAAGACACACAAAATATATGAAGGCCTATCTTAAAACTGTAGGTTCCCATCAGCTTTCCAGACTCAGGTATAATTTTAGCAGAGTTTTAAGTTCCATAACTTGAGGGATCAGCTATTGCCCTTACTAAGTAGGGGTCTGGCCAGCTCACACCCTCAGGAAAGGTTTTTACATCAACACACATGCAAGGACTGAGAAACTTCAGTTCTTGAGAAGTGAACCCATTTCTGAAGTGAGACAGCAGAGTCAAAGGCCCAAAGAACCTGAATAAAACAAGACGATACTACACAGCATGGAGGCTTTATGCAAATCTCAATATCCACTTCTGAAAATAAAATTTCACATTAATTAAATATGTTTACAATTAAACCAGCCTCATATCTAGATAAACAGATCAACAGCTACTTTAATTCCCATGATTTCTTTTTCTAAAACTTCAATACAAAATCTCACACTATTATTAGAAATGGGCAAACTGAAAGCACATCACTATTCTCCAGAGTCAGAACACAGAAGTAATAGGTGGCACACCTACCTTTAATCTGGCAAAGTTTATTAGTTTAATGTACCCATAAAAATCGAGTCCTGAGTGGGAAAAAAAAAAAAAGGGGGAGAGAATTTGTATCACAGAAAAGACCACATGTTTTACAGTTAAGTGACTACTAATTACCTGTTCAATTGGAAATTTCAAACTTCCCCTTGGGTGTACACCACTATGCAGTGCACTCTTCCTATCTTAAGTTTGCCATCTGTGTTCTTCTTCTCTTTAGGACTAACCTGTTGTATTTCATATTTCTAAAGTCTCATACCTTCTTGTTGATACTTCTTGGGGGCAGTTCTCCACAGCTCTGACATCTTCTGCCTGCTGCTTCCTAGTCACAGCCCCTTCCAGGTTCTCCCTGCCTGGCCAAGCCCAGCCCCTTTTATCCCAGTTATCTTCACTAGCTACAGCTGCAGCCCAATTAAGGACATCGCAGCTGCAGCCCATCAAGAACAACCAGGGCTTATCAGGGCAAGGCCTGTATACAGATATTCAAATATAATACAGATGTTCAAATACAATACAGATATTCAAATACAATACAGATATTTTACTAGGACTCCTACTATACTAACCCAGGAAATCCTCACCCTGAGGGCAAATACATTTGCCACAAATTAAGAATGGAACACATCCAAATGGGAACTGTGGACAGAGATTTCATTCATTTGGCAAGCAAGTACATCAGGACAGCCACTCTTACCTCCTTCCAGCTACCTTGATGGCATTCTAGGCTGCTGTGCTCCCCTGTTCATATTCTTAGCCTTCTGCTTAAAAGAATGTGAACTGATGCTACTCACTAAGAATACCTACTAATACTGATTTAAAACTGCCACCTTGGCAAAAGTAATAGGAGTTTAACTGTGTTCTCTCCCCAGGAACAGCAAAGATAAACCCAAAATACTTTGGCTTGGATTTTAGACAGAAAACAGACCAGACTAGATCTTAGGATATATAATGACTGCTTCAAGTGACAGACCCTTAAACTTGACTAAAAAGAATTTAACAGACATGGGAGGGAAAGCCTCCCTGTGATCACCTGAAGGACACAAGGCATGGGGCTCTGCTAAATGCTGAGCCCAACAACAGCATCACTGGTCAGGCAAGAGCTGCCAGCAGATCAGATCAGATCAATCATGCAGTGTCTGGTTCAGGTCAATCAAGTAGGCAGTGAGGAATCAGCACAAGCAAGCAAAGATCAAGCTCACTTTTGTCACTGGTTGAGAGCTTTACTGGTAGAAAAGGCATGCAGGAAGCAGCCAGCATAAAGAAAATGTATAAGCCTTTTTCTACAATAGCTCATCTTATTCAATCTTGGAAGCTTCAACTGCAAACCAGGAGATCAGTTATAAACAAATTAATATCTGCAATTTATTTTAAATGAGATACTCATACACAAAAGGAAATGACAAATCATGAAAAAAAACTTACCATGTTTCTGGATCACATCACTAACATCAAACTGATGCTCTGTTTTGCAGTGGGAGAACACAGCTTCAGCAGAACTAAACAACCTGTAAATAACAAACTATTAAAAGTGCAATATTGACACATTAAGTTCTAACTTATGAGTGCTATATGCTCTGTTCTGACTTACTGCAGAACACATTTCCTGCCTTTGAGAAAGGCACTGGCTCACATGCCTGACAAAGCTTTTACCTTGTTTGTCAAACATTCTGAAACAAAAGCCAACGAACACAACAATTCTGTTTGACAAAACCACAGATCCTGTTAATTTCCAAACACTGTCTGACAGCAAAGCCTGCATTAAACCTGAGATCTAAAACCCACACCAACACAAGGTGGGTGAGGCAGTTTGATAGCAATAAAATCTCTCATCTCGATACTGACGATGGGGAAGAGATGAAAGAGAAAAGGAGAAGAGCCTCCACGCTGCTTCAGCACGAGGGAAGGGGGTTACCACGCTACTCCCTCCTTCAATCCGAATGCTCAATCACTCGCTTGGCTCCGCAGAGCCGTGTACGCGATCAGCACGCTACGGAGCGAGCCCCAAAGCAGCGATTCCCGATCCCGAT